AAAAAAATATTCCTTGATAAGTGGTGACTCTTGATGTAATTGTGCTTAAAGAAGTATGGGGTAATATACATTGACGTGAAGGTGGAGTTTGGTTTGACAGAAGTATGGGGTTTGAATGTTAAAGTATATGTATTAAAGTGCTTAGGGAGGTGTAGTCACTCTTATATCTAAATGTATCCTACCCATCCCGCAGCCTACATTACAACCAAATAAAGTCCTACTTGATCCTAGACCGAATGAGCTCGATTAGTAGAGTAGTACACTACAGGCAAGCCTATGGTGCATCTTTTGTGGCATATGAATGTTATTTCTAAGATTGAGTGAATTCTTTCTATCTTGAGTTTCTAAGTGCTCTTAAATTTTATTGTGTGGAACTACTCTCTTTTGTTGTGTGGGGGCACTTGATTCATGAAGGAAAGGTAATGTCAGTGACCTCTATGTTAGAGTAAGTGGGTGAGTTGTGAATAATGCGCGGTACTTGTAAGTCAAATCTTGAGGTGAAGATGTTATGCTTTTGTGCTTAGTCTATTTTAAGTATTCTTGGTGTGATGTGTTAGGGGAATTGTTTAAAACGGTCGTGTCTATATAAAAGGTAGTTTGATTGCTCGAGGACGAGCAATGGGTTAAGTGTGGGGTGTTTATGATAGGCTATAATTACGTATTTTAGTCGCTTATTACACTATAATTTACTGCACTTTAATTGAGCTGGAGCTTTAATCGCTAGTATTTGCACTAATTGTTTATTTTATGCCTTGTAGGAGTGATTCCGAGCTATATAGATATTATGGAATGAATTCAAAGTGATTTGGAGCTTTGAAGTCTGAGTAAAATCCCAAGGAATCAAGCCGGGATCGTGTCCGGGGATCAACGGATGATAGTTAAGAACGAAACAGAGAATCGAGCGGGCATACGACACATTGTCTAGTAAAATGCACATAACTTTTCGCTCAGAACTCCGTTTGGGCTCCATAATATATCGTTGGAAAGCTATTTGAAAGGGCTACAACTTTTATGTTTTGTATTTTTGCGAATTCCCAATACTGCAGCGCATGGTGCGGCGCGGTGCTGTGGAAATTCCCTGCAGCCTGTCAGAATCAGCTCTCTGAACTTTCCCACAAGAACACCGCGTGGCGCGTCGCCCCATGCAGTGCACCTGTGAAAAATTTACAGAGTCAGAGTCCTATCTCGTGCAGGAAAAGGTGTTTCATCTGGGCCGGACCCTATTTGGTATAAATACATGTAAAAATGCTATTTTGAGCAACGAGGACATACTTTTGACATAATTTAGACCTAAGGAGGCAAAAACACACTAGGAGCAAGGCGGAGAATTCTTCTACGAGTTTTTTACTTCCTTATTCCTATTTTTATTATTGGTTATGAATTTAGTATTGTAATTATGCATACAGTTATGAATAGCTAATTTGTTATCTAGGGTTTTGATGGAACCTATTGGAGGATGATTTTCCTGTTACGTTAATATAGATTTGCTATAGTATTTTCTCTATTTGTTCAACTACGTTATTACTGTGGTTGGTTGAAGAGCTCTCAATTGACTGTGCCTATTTAATGTGTATTACTCGGGAGAGGGTGCATATTTAGCTAGTTGTTGAACAACATCACTCCTAACGTATATGAGGGATCAATACGGAGAGTTTAAAGATGGGATTAGGGATAACAAAACCTTGGGTGCGATCTGAGTGAGCCGTACTTAATGGCAGCTAGCGTAATTTGGGAGAATATGTCTAGTAAATTGTGGTAATTACTCGGGAGAGAGTTACGATAGTCAGAGCGCTCATGATAGGTAGAGAATACTTAGGCGAATTTATAGAAAACGTAGCGGAAAGGATTCCGACAATAGGGGAAATCATAAGTCTAGACCTCCTCCATCCTGTGTCTAACCCTTAGTATCTTTAGTTGTTAATTTACTATTTTAATTTGTTAGTTAAGTAGTCAAACACAAGAATCTTGATATCTATAAGTTAGGAATTGTTCAAGGGTGATATTGAACAGCTGTAGCTAAGCCTTAGTTCTCTGTGGGATTCTACTCCGGACTTGTAAACCTGATTATATTTGCAACGACCGCTTAGTCATTTTTATAAGGCATAATTGGGCGTGATCAAATACTATTCTACCACTAGATCATTGGTGCCTTTTGATTTAATTTTTTCTTTTATTTACTTATACTCTTTAGTCACTTTTTCGCGTGAAAATAACAGTCCAACATCCGTCGATTTTCTTAAAAAGATAAAATTATCGATCGAAATCGGTTGATTTTTTAAAATATTAATTTTTAATTTCTAGTAGTAAATTAAATATAACATATATGAAATCTTTATAGGATGACTTTCTTCTATTTAAATTGTGAAGTGTTATTTTGAACCATTATGTTCCGACCTTACCATGTCTAACTATGATGCATGCACGTGATTATTATATATAGAGATAGGTTCAAGTAGATATAAAAATACAAGAGATCGCATAAGTTACCCTAGCTAAATAATATTTAAAAAATATTCCTACTATTGGTACTAATACTCTTTCTGAAACTTAAATACCGGAAAGTGTCTGTGATTCATTTTCCTAAACACTTCTCCTTATTTAGTAGATTCCGATTTACCCTTTTATTTCTTTGGACACAAAAGCTAAACAGGTTGAAAAGCGAATATCAGAAGTTCTATTAGGGTTAGACTTATCTTTTATAGTATATTAATAATTATATCATCCAAATTCACCAACTTAATTTTTTAAGAGCGTCATTGTATACTTCAGCTGTTCGAATATGATAATTAATTAAGAACAAGGACTAGTCATATTAGATTCATAATCAAAATTAAATTTTTGGACTAGTTATTTCTTGTGTTCCGAGTGCACATTCCTTGTCCCTCCCAGAAAAATATCTCTACATAAATCTTATATAAAATACACTGTGATCTATCCACCCTTCACCAAACCACCACTTCTTTTAATACTCCCAATTCTTATCTGCAAGAAAAAGGAGAAATTAATTCAAAAGCCAAAAAGGGAATGAGAATTGGATAAAAAACCTACTAATTCAGAGTTCTTTTTTTTTTTTGGTAGAATATGCCAGTCAATTTGAAATATTGTATTAATAAAAAAGGGCAACAAGTTTTTTTCCCTACATGTCACGATAGGCAACCTCTATGACGTGGTGTTTCACCGCACATGTATTGTGATTGTTTATCTTGAAAAAATATCATATGAAATATACTCATAATCTATCAGCGCAAAGATACACTACTACAGGTGGGTCGGATCAGATATAGGTGAATCAAAAATGAATAATATAAAAACGGCTAAAATATCTCGCTTGTTCATATTTAATACGAATAGAAAATGGGTTAACCGATGGATAGTATGAGGGGCAAGTGTACATGTAGCCATTCTCATATATGCAATTTAAACGGCTAAAATATCTCGCTTGTTCATATTTAATACGAATAGAAAATGGGTTAACCGATGGATAGTATGAGGGGCAAGTGTACATGTAGCCATTCTCATATATGCAATTTAAAAATTAGCCAGTACTTATTTTATTCTGAAATTTTAAACTAAAAATCATAATTTCAGGACAACCTAGGACATTTCTTTGTCCTGAAAAATTAAAATTCATGACACACTGGCTAATTCCTAAATATCATCCTTTTAGAGTGGCTACCTGGTGTCATTTCTACATAATATGAATACAAATATTATCCATTGCTTTTTGAATGTGATCACTTTTGAAAGAATTTATAGTCTCCCAAATTTGAGGAACCCCCAGTTTGAATCTTTACAAATATAAAACTCAAACCGATTAATTATCCATTAAGTATTTATTTTTAAGTGGTTAGTATGAATCTGATTCATATTTGCTTCATATTTATAAAGTTCATTATCCAACATATCTTTTCGTGGATAATACGAATGGGTAATTATTATTTTTATCCATTTTGTCACCATTATATTAATAATTCCGCATATCATGCAGGGGCCGAAGGGGGTTCATCCGAAACCCCGTCGCCGAAAAATTACACTATATATGTAAGGCAAAATATATTTTTTGCATCTATATATTGCCCCCTCCGTTTCATATTAGATGAGGTACTTTCCTTTTTAGTCTGTTCTAAAACAAATGACACATTTCTAAATTTGGAAATAATTCAACTTTAAACTCTTCATTTTACCCATTTGACCTTCATGATAAGCTTTTATAGCCACACAAATGTCATGGTCCCGCAAACCTTTTACCCCTTGAGCTTTTAAGACCACAAGTTTCAAAAGTCTTCTTATTTTTTCTTAAGCTCCGTGCCGAGTCAAACTACCTCATCTAATATGAAACGGATGGAGTATGTTTTAAATCCTTTAGCATAGCTCAAAAGCATAGCTTAGTGGTCAAGGGAATTCAAAATTTTTGTAATGTCATTGGTTCAATTTTCACTAGTTACAATCTTTTTTAATTTTTTTCTTTTTTAAACCCCTTAGAAGAAACCCTGCCTCCGTCGCCGATATTGTGATCCATAATATTTTATGTGACTTGAAGTTGCTATAATAAATCAAAAGGAATTGAGAATTCTATAAATTGCAGCCTCCGCAACATGACATTCCAACGCAGACCATTTCTCCTTCTTACAAAGAAGAACACGGAGATGAGCTGAAGCTTTGTCATGTGATTTCAATTCGTGGATTACATAAACACTCGAAACTCAAACAAAGACAAAAAAATAATTTTCTTTTGTCAAAAAGAAGCTTCACTTTCTTTGGTGGCCTTTGAATTTTTTTGCAAAAGAAGCCAAATATCCCAATCATATATTTTTCACTTTCCCTTTTATTATTTATATTCTATTATATACTGTCAGCGGGAGAGAGAGAGAGAGAGATAGAAAAAGAAAGGAAGCTATAAATGCGAGCAGGTTTGTGTAGGTTCTTTTCGCCTTTGGCTTAGCAACTAAGATTACACCTTCCTCTTAACTTCTTCTCTTTTTATTTATAAAATAATATATACTCTTTTTCTTTATATATATATATATACAACGCTACTTTCAAAAGACTACACATTGATATTTGTGTATATAGCAGTATCACAAACCCCAAAAGAGTTTTCTTGAATCGAACAAAAAAGATGGAGTTTTACGCATACCCATCTCGTGCTTTGCCTTCATCGTCATCATCCTCTCTTTCTTCTTTTTCAATCGGGGATTTGGTTGATAGGGCCAAAGATTGTTTCTGCCTTGCCGTCTCTACCATCGTTGGCAATGTTTTCTCTGCAATCTTCACCTTCTTCTTCGCACTAGGTGAGTTTTATTTTTCATTCTTATTAACTTTATTTGATTGTGTATGTTCCTCTTTCGGTTGTGTGGGTTAAATTTGATTTGCCCCAAATTGTGCATCCCATTTGATGGCTTACAATTCAGTGTCCTTGTTAAATTTTTCTTGTGACCTAAAATTAGGGTATGGAAGAATCTGAAAATGGACAATTTTTGGCCTTTTAAGCCAATATTTGCCCATTCTATTCAAAATATGATGGAGATATTTGGCTCCCTTCTCTCAAATATATTTGTTTTTTTGTTGGTGATTGTGTTCCATATGTTTAGGATGTTTTAGAGGAACCGCTTGCTTTAATTTCTTAAAGTTATTTTCTAATTTGAAGCTAATAAGGAATGGATTTGGTTCTAGTGGGCACCTTATTAGGAGCAATGACCGGGGCTTTAATAGGCCAAGAGACAGAAAGTGGATTTGTTAGAGGTGCTGCAGTTGGTGCCATCTCTGGTGCTGTTTTCTCTCTTGAAGTCTTTGAATCATCTCTGTTGCTATGGCAGTCTGATGAATCTGGAATTGGATGTGTTCTTTACTTGGTAAGCATTATTACTTATTTCTCACTGATAATGTTGAAAGTTAGCTGACAAATTACTTAACTTCTATAAAAGGGATAACTTCATGTGAGAAAACATTTTCCTTATAGAGTAAGATCCAATCTGTATCCTGGTGTCGCACCCCATGGTGGTTTCATTCGACCCACCCCCCTAAAAGAGTAAAAAAGATACAAAAAACAATGAGAGAAATGTTAGTTCTGTTTCATGATCCATTGGCATATGATTAACCGATAAAACTGTTGAATTGTACAGATTGATGTAATAGCGAGCCTGTTAAGTGGTAGACTAGTTCGTGAGCGGATTGGTCCAGCTATGCTAAGTGCAGTGCAAAGTCAGGTGTGCTGCAGCCTCATTCACACCTATAGAATATTGTTGAAACTTGATATACTTTCAATTGTGACGCGGGCTTTTTGTTGGACAGATGGGAGCTGTTGAAACTGCATATGAAGAGATCCCTAACATTTTCGATACAGGCGGGGCAAAGGGTTTACCTGGAGATTCTGTTGAAAAGATCCCCAAGATTATAATTGCAAATGATAATGATATGGATGGTTCTGGAGAGAGAGTCTCCTGTTCAGTCTGTCTACAGGTAAAACACACTTATACCTTGTGTTTGCTCTTTCTCTTTCTGTTGTTGAATTTACTTAATCGATTCTGAACACTGTTTGTTGTTCCATTGTTTCCAGGACTTCCAACTGGGAGAGACTGTTAGATGTTTACCACAATGTCATCACATGTTTCACCTTCCCTGCATTGATACATGGCTGTTGAGACATGGATCTTGCCCATTGTGCAGAAGGGATCTGTAGGTGACCATACTCTGTAAATTATATAACATGGTTTTTTTTTTCTTCATACTCTCTTATAGGATTTCTCTATTTCTTTTCTCCTCTCTTGTACCAATTTTCCTGGAAATATAATGTAATTAGAGTATGTGCTCCTTTGAGCTTGGTCCTTGTAGTTGATTACCATCCTGTAAAGAATTTTGAGCAATCATAGTGTACTCTACTTCCACAGAGCAGTACTTCTGTATTGGCGTGCCTCTTGTTTTGCGATCGCATTGTGCAAGATAAGATCTGCCTTGATCCTGATTACTTAACAGGTCATATCTCAAGAACAGTATTTGGCTGACCAAAATTGACTAGTTTAATCTTTGTGTGGAATCCTATGCCTATTGTAAATTATAAACTGCTTGTGGTGCTCTGTATAGACAAAAACTTAAGTTAAGTATTGAAATGAATATGTTTAAGTGGTTGATTTTTCTCAATCAAGGAGGAAAGAAGAACTAGTCGGCCAAAATATCTTCATTCCAGGAATGTTCATTCACCAAACATTCTGCTGCTGATCTTTCAGCTTACACCTGTGCATAAAGTCATACCTATATTTGCAGTAAAAAATTATTTTTGTTCAAGTCTCTACTTGGCAAGCCTGTAGCCAGTAGATATATAAGATATTTGCTTGGGTTGGCTGTGCCAATTGCAGGATATTGAGCTTGGTCAATGATTGTTGAATTTCACCAACAATTGTTAGACTTTCCCTTGACTTTTGCAACTTTATAAAAGTTAGTTATGTACCTCTCCAGCAGACTTTTGGAACTGCTATATATTAGAGGGCTGAAAACTCTTCCTGTTTTTATGCTTTCGTGGCCTTTCTTTGTTTTAGTGCTTGACTTGATCAAGGTCCTTGTTTGGTCCAATAAATACATCGATGGGTTGCCTCGATCTATTTACTTGATTAAATGATGGCTTTTATACAAATGGTTATTGGTTTTCTTATGAACTACTCCCTCCGTTTCACAATAAGTGATCAATTTGCTTTTTTATTTTGGTCCAAAATAAGTGTCCATTTATATAAAATTATCAAAAAAAAATTCAATTTGTTTTTACAAAATTACCCTTATGTACATATCCCTAAAAAGTTTTCTTAATCCTCACATTGAATATTTAATTAAGGGTAGTTTAATTATACTAGGTATTTTTGTATAGAATTTAGTATTTTCTTAATGGGCGTGCCAAAAGTAAATTGATCACTTATTGTGCCAAAAGTAAATTGGTCACTTATTGTGGATCGGAGGGAGTAACAGTAACACCCTCCCCCGCCACCCCCAAAAAAAAAAAAAATTAAGGAAATTGTTTTAATTTTCAACATTTATAGCCCAAGGTTTTGGAAGTTGGGAATGCAGGTTTGGTGCCTTAATTAATGTTTGAAAAATTCAAATCAGTGTTGTAGATGGCATAATGAATAGTGGAGAGTTAACATTTATGCAGCAAGTGGTTTGCAGTGAAATGACTTGTTTATTCAAGAAGACAAAACTACATCGACAGACTTAAAAAGTCATTTCTTGCGTGCAGGAAAGTTAAAAGACAGAAAAATCTGAAATGAAAGCGCTTCACTTCAACAAATGGAGCCTTCTTCCAAGCCTAATATTTGCCCTATAAATGCTTTATTTCTGTTGAGTAACCACTGATTTTATATTTGGTGGGTCATCATTTTGGGCATGTTGAACCATTTAAATGCTTCCAAATAAACAACGTTAGAGAGAGAAGGAATTATAAAATGCATAGTGTTCATAAAAGTCTTGTAGATTCAGTTGGTCAAAGAAAGCTACTTCTCAAAACCTTGCCACAAAACAAAACGATTAAAGAGTGTAATATCTAAATGAGTATATACTATATCGTATATTGCGTTTAATTTCAAAATGAATGAATGTCAATAAATGCCTATTGCGAGGCAGATTGTGCATAGACCACGTCTCATCTGTATAGGTCAAAATCTGATCATACGAGTGCTGAAAGGGATGCAAGGCGCCGACTAAGCCGTGGTTGTATTCACTAGGCATCATAACGATGAGTATCTCGGCTACTGCCGAGATCGAACTATCAGAAAGTTTGTAAGGGGAAGTATATGTCGTGACACTTAAGGGGAACGACCTAAAGTACAATCAGCAGATTAGGGTGTTCTGGCTAATGACTGTTGGATAAAAAGGGGATGCTTATAATATATATAGGAGGCGAGAGAACAAGGAAAAGGGGCCTCTCGGTTACAGGAAAAAGAGAGAGAAGGAACGTAAAAGGTCTCTGAGGAAAATGAAGCCAAGGTCTAGATCTTGGATGCAAATCTTTGTAATCATCTTTCTCAAATCAATAAAGATAGATTTCGCAGCTGTTAATGGCATCCCTTCTTTTCCTTCTTTGTTCTTACATTCAGAACAGTACGTCGAGAATGTAAGCATGTCATTTATGTTCCATATCCCTTTTTAATCTTAAAGATTCATGAGCTTGACTATATCTTATTCTCTTATTCGATGTGTTGTGATCTAGAATAGTTAATTATCCTTGGCTAGGATTTATCCTCTATTTTCTTATTAATTAGTTTAAGAAAAAGCTTAACACTTTTTGGTCAAACAATTTGACGCCGCCTGTGGGGATTTTCTAGCCAAAATCTTAGTTCCCTCTAGATCTAAAACAAATCAGAGCTTCACCTCCCGGTTGTCGTAGCCTCACCCTCTCAGTATAAAGACCAACTTGGGAAAGTTGTAGGCAAGCTTTTGGAAATAACCAAACCAATTAGGGTCAGATCTCTACATGAAATCGAAATTATGTCTGATATTATACAAAACCCACATTCCGCCTGTAGCGATGGGTTTGGCACGTCGTGAGTACTCAAAGTGGAATTATGGCCACTACGCACTTAGCACGTCTGAAACCTTATTTGCCGTATTAACGGTATACTTTCACCTCTTGGGAAGGGCGATGGCCTACTGCATGATTCTTTGAAATAACCAGCCTATCCTGCTTTATTTTTGTACCCGTACGCACGGTGTAATTTATGTACACAGTATAACACGTTTCCCCTATTGTTTGCGCAAATCTTGGACGGGATCGGACCGGGACTCGGGCTTGAGATCCCAACGGGCAAGGTAAGTTCAGCCCATAACAAGCCTAGACGCGACTAACGGCGAAGCCACACGGGGCTGCCAGATCTGAAATCACCATTCGAGTACGGGATGAAACGGGTTGCCTACAACGCCCCTCCCCCTTCGCCGACTTACCAGGTCAAGGTAACAGGCAATTTCGTTTGGGTTTAACTAGTCATTTTCTTTTTTGGATTGTTATAGGAACACGAGCGTTCCCACAGTTGCGCAAACAAGGAACAAATACCACTGAACGCACTAAGCAAAACCCTCCGCACCATACCATACTGCGAGTAACATAAACGGCTCAAAACAGGCCGACATTGTTAAGAAACAATCTCCATAACCTGAAACTGAGCAGTAAGCCCATGGAGCATATAATCTCTTCAACACAGGCAGAAAATGAACTCGAAAAAGCTCGCCCGAACAACCGACTAAATATTACGCCAATTTGGCTTACTAAATATTATGAGTCACGTACGAACATCGTTTAAATTAGTGAAGTCCCAGGGTGCCCAGTGACCCAAGCAATAAGTTCATCGTCTGCCCCGTTAACGGCCTCTCCAGGCCGAGCAAAGGGACCAGATAAACCGGGACTCACCCGACGCACAGTGCTCTCCAATGAAAGCAAAATTAAACAAATCGAGACTCACCCCGACGCATAGTACTCTCCAACGAAAGCAAAATTAAACAAATCGGGACTCCCCCCGACGCACGCGTAAACAATGCGGCAACGAGTAATGTTCTCCAATAAAAATAATACAACGGACAAATTTCACCATCTCTCCAAACCCGCACATCGCCAAGTGAAGAAAAGTTGGACCTCTCTCGAACTTTCAACGGGTTACAATTCGACCTCGCTCAAATTTACACCTTTACGGCCATCGGCCGTCGCCAAGCGAAAAGAAAGTTCGAATTCTCTCGAACTCGCAACGGGTTACAATTCGACCTCGCTCGAATTTACACCCTTATGGCCGTCGGCCGTCGCCAAGCAAAAAGAAAGTTCGACCTTACTCGAACTCACAACGGGTTACGATTTCGACCTCGCTCGAAGTTACACCCTCATGGCCATCGGCCATCGTCAAGTGGAAGTGAAATTCGATCTCGTTCGAATTCACAACGGGTCACACTTCGACCTCAGGTCATAATTCGACTTCACTTTAATTGATGCCCCTGGCCATCACTAAGCGGAAGTAATACTCGAGTTTACAAGTCAAAACTGACTTCGCCCAAGTTGGCAAGTCTAACTCCGACCTGACTCGAATCAAGCGAAATAAAATCGCATTCGAATTCCTAATTAAAAATCAGGGACTCATCGCGGGGAAATATGAAGATCGTTTTCAAAAAAGAAAGAGAACGAAAGTCAAAAGATATGTGACCAAAGGCAAACGACTATTTTATTCAGAAGATGCACATGCGCAACAGTTGTGCCTTACAAAGGGACAAAAGCGGGCCCCCAAGAAAGAGATGAAAGCAAACAACAAAAGATCAAAAAAAAAACTAAGTACAAGAACTGCAAAAATCTTTTCCTCGGCATCGTCCCCACCGCCGTTCTCCCCAACATCGTCCTCATTAGAAAGAAGCCCATCTCCAATCTCAGCACCCTCACCGGCTTTCGGTGTCGCAAGGTCATAACCACAGGCAAGACGAGCCTCGCGTGCCTTCGCCCGAGCATCTTCATAAGTGGCCTCAGGAACGCCCCTCGCCTCCCATAAACTCTTGTATATATCTCGTTGGGCCTCAGCATGGACCTATAGCTCATACAGACGGCAGGGAACAGTATCAGAAGCAGATTCTGGATGCCCGAGCCAACAACTGCGCCTTCTTGGCCTCAAGGGCCGCAACTCGATCTCCCAAGGTCGAAGCCTATCAAGTTCACCAATCTGTTCCTCGAGCCGCGCCTCCCTCAGTGTAGTCGTCGCCCTCTCAGACTCTTTCTCGGACTTGAGGACGCGAATAGTGTCTTCTAGCGCCGCCGCCTTCGCCAAAGTCGACACTCGATCCCTCTCAGCTCTCTACAACTCGGCCACCTTCTTTTCTAGCTCAGCCACTTTCTCCATCCATAATGCGCTTAGGTCGACGACTCTGGTGGCATTTTGTTCAAGCTCGGCTAGCAAAGACAGCACCTTCGCCTGAAAGTCTTCACACTCCGCCGCAACCCCTTTGCCCACTCCAAGCTCCTCGTTCTTGGCATGAAGCAACTCCTCAAGCTCGCTGCATATGCGGATAGACCGCATCAGTTCCTCGTCCCTTTTCTCGAACTCCTCCCTAATGGATTGAGCATTACCGCCCGCCCTGAGTTGCACATGCATCTCACAACATTTGTTGCAATACCGATGATACTTCGCGGCCATTTCTAGAAAAACTTCGGCCCTTGTCTCGGCCCTACGGGCACTCACGATCTCCAGCATGTAAGTCTAAAAAAAATAAAGAAGAGGGTAGGAATCAACAAAGGCAAAATAGCATAAAACAAATAAAAATGGCGAAAGAAAACTCACCCTCAAGGACATCCTGGCCTTGACATTTGACAAAGCGGAATCATTGAGCTCCCGAAGAGACTCACTTTCAGCGGCGGAAAATAGAAGGTCGAATTAATGAACCAACTCCACCGTGTCTTCCAACTGGTTAAAATCCGATGGAATTTCGAGTATGCGAGAAGGGCCCTCTGCCCTTACGGCAACCCTAGTAAATCCCTCCTCGAACATCCTCATGTCTTCGGAATCAATGTCTGAATCGGATTCATAGTCATCCACCATGACGCCCTTCAATCTCTCACCGGCCGAAGATGGAGTGCGACCTAGTCGAGACGACGATGGGCCGCTCGGAACCGTAGTGGTAGCCTCGGAACCCCGTCCCTCTGCCACAGTAGCCTCTTGAACGCTTGCAACAGGCATCGCCTCCTAACCCAGGCTAGCACCACCGCCAGCTTCGAGCACCGTCAAAACAAGGTCACCACTCGAGGGCGTCTCAACTAAAGAAGCCCCTTCCAACACTATCCTCCGCCTCTTCGACGGGGCTTCTGCTCCATCGACGCGAGAAGGTTCACCCGTTGAACGAACTGCGGGGAATGGAGTCTCCGACCGAGGAGCAACCTTCGAACGAACAGTTTCGGCCACAGATGCGGTATGTCGAGCAACCAAACCCTGTACACCCCCACCCGCAGTTGCTCTTGGTGCGGGCAGGGCAGAGGGAGCCGGTTGACGGAATGCGAGGGGAGGAGCCCTCGCCCATCTCACTGCTCTTCGACCTGTCAACAAGAAATTGGTTCAAATAAAGATAAAATACGGAAAGAGGACGAACAAAGAAATAAAGCAGATGAAGCCGAAATAAGCCGACTCACCAGTGGAAGGTTTACGCCCAAATCTCTCATGAAAGGGCGCCCATTCACGGATCCGCATCGTGCGAGGTAGAATTGCACTCACCCATTCGCAACAGTCGGCAACTTGTGGAGGAGGCACCCTCTCAGCTACAAAAACAAAAACAAACCCTCAACGAGGTCATTAAAGGGGGGCGACCGACAACCCTCTTAAGAAAAAATGGATGAAGTAAGAAGAAAAGAAGGCCTACGGGCAAAGTTCCACGTCTCAGGAAACCCCGCCGGGTTTGACACGACGTGCTTTGTTCGGACGAAGAAAAAACTCTCCCAAAAGCAGCGATTTATCTTATCATCCATCTTCACCACCAAACTCTTGGCTCCTCGGTGACTCATGTGAATCTTCGTACCCCTAAGAAAATTGGGGGCAAAGAGGTGTAGCATGTGCTCTAGGGAGATTTCACGGTCGGCGAATCCACGTACTTGATGAGCATAAGGAAAAGATTGTACGCGTATGGAGAGAGTTGAGCCGGACACACCTCATAGAAGCGGCAGAAGTCCACCACCAGGGAAGGAAGAGAAGAGTGTAACCGATGACAAAGGGATACGCATAAAATGCACAGTAGCCCGGACGGTGTATGTGCACTATATCCTGGTCCGCCGGAACCAGTTCAATGTGATCGAGGATCCCCCATTTGGCTTTGAACGCCATGAGTGGAGCAACATCCATCGTAGAAATAACGGGTTCCGGCTCGTCTCCGGAGGGGCTATTGAAGTCAGTCCTCGCCTTCCCTGGACGGGGAACCACCTCATCCACCGTCGGAAAAACTCTCGTCTTCTACCGGACCCTCTCCCTCTTCGATTAGGGGCACATTTTCCAGCATCGGAGCACCAATGGCTCCATCGGGGTTGGAGTCTCCACTAACCATCTTCTCTTTGGTTGAAAGAAACGAGAATGGTGAAAGAAAAAGGTGGTGTTCACAACAAATCCTAACAGACAGAAGTATGAGAAGCTAAAGAAGAAAAGTTACAAAAATTTCTTTCGAGCAATTAAGAAGTGTAACATTTAAATGAGAGGCTCTCCCCTATTTATAGGAATCTAAATGCCCTGAGCGGGAAAACCAAGCACCTCCAGTTAGAAAATGGTAAAGGCACGGGAAACGACGCAATGCATAGAAAACGTGCGCCATAATGACGCATGAGACATATTAATGACATTCTGAATTGACGTGAAGGTCTAACACAGCTCTCGAAACGTCACGTCTCTATCTCGCCATGAGATGTCCGCCCCACACATAAAGTGTTCAGATTTCTCCCAATTTTCGGATCGATAGAGTCCGCCCATCGTGCTCGCCAAGAGGCGACCCCAACAGGCGGAGGGACTAATTGTATGGGTCAAAATCTGACCATACGTAGATTAGTGCTGAAAGGGATGGCAGGGGCCGACTAAGCCGTCGTTGTATCCACTAGGCATCATAACAATGAGTATCTCGGCCACTGTCGAGATCAAACTATCAGAAAGTTTGTAAGGCAAAGTATATGTCATGACACTTAAAGGGAACGACCTAAAGTACAATCAGCAGATTAGGGTATTTTGGCTAAGGACTGTTGGATAAAAGGGAATGCTTATAATATATATAGGAGGCGAGAAAACAAGGAAAAAGGGGGTTCTCGGCTACAGGAAAAAGAGAGAGAAGGACAGTAAAAGGTCTTTGAGGAATATGAAGCCGAGGTCTAGATTTTGAAAATGTACCAATTTTACGACAAAATATAGTTGCAGTATTTAATTAGGGGAACCAAAAAATTGAAAAAACGACTAGAAATTCAATTCTCGCGGTCCACCTTATCTTCTCTTTCAATATTTTTGATGTAATATGTCGTAGAATCTTTTTTGTTTTTCACTATGAAAAAGAAAAAGAAAAAGGAACAGGATAGCTGCCTATACCTTGAAGCAGAGAATCCCGCCCCACCAAATGGATAGAATACAACCAACGAACTCCACATTAGCAACTGTCCCTTACGTTTCCGTTATCCTAAATGCCGCCGTGTCTCTGTCTCCCCGCCACTCACTCTCTCCCCTCCTCAAACCTTCTCATCTCCACGCGCCACCGCTTTCGACTCCCTAAACCGCCGAATGCTTCCTCACAGATATCCCTGAACTCGCCATTATCCAATCAAACCTCACCCCCTCAGCCTAAAACAACCGGAGTCATTGTCATTGGCGGTGGCTTAGCTGGCTTAGCAGCTGCAACTCGGCTTCAAGCCGATAATGTCCCATTTCTACTTCTCGAAGCTTCTGACGGTGTTGGCGGCCGTGTTCGCTCTGACGTAGTCGACGGTTATATCCTCGATCGTGGTTTCCAGATTTTCATTACTGGTTACCCTGAAGCTCGAAAAATCCTTGACTATGACGCCTTAGACCTCAGAAAATTCTACTCTGGGGCTCAGGTTTACTACGGTGGTCGCTTCAACACCGTTGCTGACCCTCTCCGTCACTTCTCCGATTCTCTGCAATCTCTAACTAACCCAATCGGTACAGTTGTGGATAAATTACTTATCGGATTGACTAGATTAAAAGTTTTGACTCAAGGAGATGATGAGATATTGAATGCTGAAGAAGTTACTACTATTGATTTACTGAAAAAGATCGGTTTTTCGGATGCAATATTAGAAAGGTTTTTTCGACCTTTTTTTGGCGGGATTTTCTTCGATAGAGAGCTTGAAACGACGTCGCGGCTGTTCAATTTCATCTTCAAGTGCCTAGCTCTAGGTGACAACACACTTCCGGCTAAGGGCATTGCTGCGATTCCAGAACAATTGGCGGCGAAATTGCCGTCGAATTCGATACTGTTGAATTCACCAGTCGTTTCTGTTGATTCAGAATCGAATTCGAGCTCAAGAATAAGGGTGAAATTACTAAATGGAGAAATTTTTGAAAGTGAATTTGGGATAATATTGGCAGTTGAAGAGCCTGAGGCAGTTAAGTTATTGGCGGGAGAAAAAACCGCTGAGGTTCGACAACCGGTTCGGAGCACTGTTTGTTTGTATTTTTCAGCTGACCAAGATAAAGTTCCGGTTCGGGACCCGGTTCTGCTTCTTAACGGGACGGATAAAGGGATAATCAATAACATGTTCTTCGCCACTAATGTTGCTCCCTCTTATGCTCCGGCAGGAAAGGCACTGGTTTCTGTGTCGCTTGTGGGGCTATATGGTGATGTGGCGGATGAGGATTTGGTGGATCAGGTCGTTAAGGAGCTTTCGGGTTGGTTCGGGCAGTCGGTAGTTGGGTCGTGGAGTTACTTGAGAATGTACCGGATCGGGTTTGCCCAACCGAACCAATGCCCACCCACCAACTTGACGAAGAACCCAAAAATAAAACCAGGCTTGTATATTTGTGGAGATTATGTGACTAGTGCTACTTTTGATGGAGCTTTGGTTTCTGGCAAAAAAGCAGCAGAAGCTTTGTTACAAGATAGAGCCTTGGTTACAGTATAGCTAAATTTTGGTGTTGAGTTTCTTCAGTTGTGTAAACTAGAGATTTTTTTGGTGTTCTTGATTTATTTGTATATGATTCATAACCGTTTATAGCTCATTTTGATGCATTACTTAGCCTTCTCTTTTTTTCCTTAAGTGTGCTAATTTGTATAAAGAAAAAGAAGACGGTTTGATTTGTTCTGTTGTTAATATATAATTGCAAGTATATTTGTTAAACAATGTTGTTTTACATTATGTGATAAATGGAGCAACGTGGACAGTTGAGAATTCATATAGGCAAATCCCACCTGCTTGTAATTGAGGCATTGTTGTTGTTGTGGTGTTGTTTTACGTCATCTGGAACTCACACTCTGAAACAAGAGAATAACAGCATAATTTGCAAAACTCCATGTGGGGAAGATTGTTTTGTTTTGTTTTGTTATTCAGATGTTAGATGTTTGGCTTATGTTTTTGGCTGCAGAAACAAGCTTGGGGAGGCACAGTGCAGCGTCCACGCCTGTAGATTTGACTCCTTCATACTGCATTAATTTTCAAACTTTCAAGGTTTGAGAAGCTTCTTTTAATGTTAAGTTTTTAGCTAGATGCCAATTTTTATGTAAAAGAACTTGCACACAACAGAGAAAAGACATAGTTGTTGTTCTTATCCAATTGAACATAGATTCTATCTTTTTGTTCTTAAGAATCAGGGAAGGACAAGGGTCTGATGCTCCTGGTTCTTGACTTCTTAATGTTTACAATTTGTTCACGACTAAATCATACAGTTCTGCCATGAATTTTATAGTAATATTTGCCCTATTTAATTATGAAACAGCGTCTGTCTTACTTGCTAATACAATAATGGAGGTTGCTTTCAGTTGATGGACCATTGTAGGTATCTTTAATCCTTCTAATTATTACTAATATAAACCAGACAGTGATGTCTTTCCTAAATACAGTGTCTGATGCTGCCAGCAATTATATAATATCATGGAAACATGAGCATTATTTCATTGCAATTAGAAGCTTCTCCAAGTTTTTATATATATATATATAT